AGACATGTTTAGTTATCCAGATCTGAAATGATGCTGCTGCTATTATTATTTCTTCATCTGAAAGAGAAAACACTTGGAGTCCACACACATCAGCTGTTACCTCAGCCTTTAAAGCAAAAAACCCAACTTCATCTCGTACAATGACCAAACATTTTGTAAACGAGGGGCAGCTAATCAGAAATTAAAGTGGTTACAAGAGCTTGGCCTTAAAGGGGAAGAAACTAAAACACCTTGTTCTGAAGTGAGGAGCTGCACCAAGATCCAGTACAAGAGGAACAATGATTATTTTGAACTGTGAATCATGCAAAGCTTCTCTAGTGCAATCAGAAAATACAAATATAAAGCTGGACATGAGAGAAAGAAGTTCCCCTTAAGCTACAAGGCTAAAGTGTCTTTTTAATACATCGGCAGCAACAGTATCTCTGCGAACTGTTGCTAACACATCAGGAACGCCAAATGATCTGTAGTGTTTTGTGCACATGGACCGCCTTTGATCGAACGGTGCCGTGCTGAAGAGCAAAATGGCATTAATTGTGTTTTTTGTTTGAAGAGGGCTGGTGCCTAAAAGCCTGTGGGCGTGACACAAATGCAGTTTTTAAATGTGTTTATTTCACGCGGACAGCTCACGGTAATGGATTTCAGTATAAAATAATAAGATGTAAACATGCCAATTTCAGCTGAACTGTGGGTTACATAAAGCTTTACAGTTGACATACAGGGACACGACAGAACGCACATAAACACACAGACGATGCATCGTGCTAAGAGCGAATAGTTCCCAACAACAGACTGACGTCCATGTTTCCTGGGCTGAGGAGCGGGGCTCTCTCATTCAGAGTGTTCACACACTCACAGATAGAGGGTTATTCACAGCAAGTACTCTGACGTGGGAGTGGAGAGTTTATTCGTCACCATCATTCTGCTGCTCTTTGTCTTTCACTCTCTTTCCTTTTTTCCCCTCAGATTCTCTGGTCTTGTGATTGGCTTCAGCTGATGAGAGGAAGTGTGTTTGATGGTTTGAGTTCTTTAGTGTGTTAATCTGTACACCCTGCAGTGGATATTTGAAGGGGTTATCAATACCTCGTTTCTCTATTTCAGCTTGTTTGCTTTCTTTCTGCTCCTTCGCTAACTCTGTGTGTGCTTGTGAGAGCATACTTGTTTGGATGGTTAGGGGGAGAAAACAGACACCCATTATGGATGAACTGGTCAAAGGCTAATAGACTTGGCAGACCAGACACATGAATCAAAAGTGTGCAGTACTCCTCACATTATGAGAAAGAGACAGGTAAAAATCTGCAGCAGTGGGTCATTAAGTTGCTTAGTGTAAATCCTCAGAAAAGCAACACTGAATTCTGTGTCCTGGCAAGGAGAGAGAAATAAAGGGTGACAAAAAATACAGAAATGCATTTAAGAAGAAAATAAAGCTGCTTAGAAAAAAACACAAGGAGAAGGCAGGGAAAGTGAAGGCTGCATTCAGAATGCAGATTAATTTCCTGTGTAAATATTTGCATTTGGCGAACAATTCGCTTTCTAAACCTGAAAATTTTAGACCCAAAGTCAATATTTTGCTATAAAAGGACCATATGGCAGTAGCTGTGGGTCTGTGTCTTCGCATGTGTTTGGCATTTCATGACTTCCCACAATCCCCTGGGCAGCAGGAGATCCAGGGATTATTACCTGGGTTTGCATGGCAACTGTGACGCGGAGCCATCACCGTGAGAGAGACCCAGGAAGTGATTACACGGAGTATGAATTTAAGAAGGCACACAAATATTGAAATTAATTATGCATTTAATCACAATCCAAAAAAACCTTTATAACATCAGTAATCTTCAAAATGGACCTAAAGTGCACTAAGAATCTTCATTATTGCCTCTGCAGCAGCACGAGCTGAGGATTAAATGGATCAATACTGGTGACTCAACAATTTCCTGGCCAGCTGCTAAAGTCTCCTTTCACACATACCCCATTTTGGAAACAATTCCCAGATGTCAGTCACATCTTTAAATATGCAACATCTCAGCAAGCAGCGCTCACAGATTGATTTCTCACTTGGAAGACCGAGCAGGCAAGAAAAAGGAGAGAAAATGTGGGAGAGCGAGGGTTAGTTGAGTATGGAGGAGAAGGAGAGAGGTGAATGAGTGTACCGGTGAGGGAGGACAGGCTTAACTGATAATACTTCTTAAAGCTCAGATGAACAGCTGATGCACCGTGCACTTAATTCAATTACACACACTCCCACTGGACTCACTGTGTCTGTGTATATGACAATACAGCTTCCCATTTTAGGAGCACAGGATAGATAAAATATCTAACAGAAGAAGAGAAACTCGTGTTAATAACACATTAGAGAACGTCCTCTGTGGTTCTTATGTGTGAATGCTTCTCCTACACAGCGTGGCTCTTTGCCAACACGTTCACATCTGAGAGTTGTTTCTTCAAATCATTAATACAAATCAGTTAACAGTTGCATTTCATTATCTATTGATTAGTCTGTCATGTTTCTTTTCCAATCAGTTAGTGTTACAGCCTTGGTTTTATCTTAAGGTGACTTATTCTGTGTGACCGAGGATCCAAAACTCAAAAAAAGTGAAATTTCAGACGTGTTTATGATTTAGTGTTATAAGGTGTTTTATTGCTTTTTATTCATATTAATGCTTTCTGTTTTATGTCTCCTTTTCCTGTTGTTTTTAACTCTGTTTACTGTCATTGCATGTTTTTTTTCTTTCATTTTTTCCTTTTTTTTTTGCCTTTCTTTTCCGTTTTTTCTTTTTTTTCAAGGGTTAACTTTTTAATTTGTTTTAACAGTGCAAGCACACCACTTCTTGCATCTTGGCTGTTAGCTCTTTGTCACACTTTTGACCAGTCGACACCAAACAGGAAGCTTCTGTGTTGGCTGCTGTAATGCGAATCAGTCTGTTAGAGGACGTCTTCTTATGTAGGCAACAAAGTGTTTATTTTCTTCTGGGTCCACTGGCTACGAGGAATCTCTCCGACACAGGTACAGGCATGTAAAGCACTGCTGCCTCAGGTGACTGTAATGTCGTCGGGGAACGTTTTTTATCGCAATGTGAAAAAGCAAATTCCTGGAACGCATGTCTGTGTAGGCTCTCAGTCTACCAGGTCAAGTAGTCTTGAGAGCTTAACACCTTGGCTCATGTGAAGACTCGGATGATCGATAATGGGTCAATGACCCTCAGGACCACCTCTAAAGGGGACAACCCCGACTACGGGCTAAATACTTGAGACTCAACGATTTGTTTTTAGCAGTAAACCAGCTGTAAAATTGAATTTCTGTGAATCTGCAGCGTATGTAGATAAATGTACACAGACTAATCCCAGGATTACTGGATAAGTAATGGTTTTAAATTGGGAAATGTGTTGTTGTTTTTTTTAAATTCTTGTAAGTAAGCAAATGTCTGTTAAAGATTTATGTAGAATCCCATTGTTTAGTGTGTAATATGACGGAACGGTGGAGAAAGGAGTGCAAACCGTCAAATTATACGTGTATTCATATTTGCAGAAAATAGCCGGTATGTCATTTGAAATGTCCTTCGTTTAACTATGTATTGTTAGATGAAAAGATGCAGAGATTCCAAATGTAATTATAAGCCTGAATATGACGTGAAAACATGAGTGGCGTTGGGTTTTCTGTTCGATGAAAAGTCAGAGAGTGAGAGGGCGAGATAAGGGAGGAGCGCGTTTCCCAGGGCAGCTGAGGTTCTGCGACCAGAATGAAGGCATCGGAGCATTCCTGTTTTTGTATTCTGGTTCTTTTCACTGGCTTTGCTCTCTGTCCTTTGTTCTTTTTCCATGCTTTCACTTTTTTCACTCATGTGTAATATTTTCTCAAAGAATTGTTAATGAGGCAGGTTTGCGGCAGCGCTCTGAATAGGGAAAATGACTCAAACAGTAACATATGTTTCTATACCTCTGTTTAGTTTAGCATGTTTTCTTAGCTTCGCTGAAACACTCCTGTCAGTGAAGCCCCATTCCCCCTTCATAGTTACAAATAACAAAATGAAACCTAACTGATGACTGATGAATGGAGTTAATTGCATTTGTTCAGTGTGCAGGTGGTTTGTTTGAAGTTTTCTCTGATGTTGATTCATTTCTGTGGTGAAATGAGTGTTTTAAAAAAATTATGACTCGCCATTGGGATGTCTCACTGTGAGTCCTGGCACATTCTCTCTGTAATCTTTTAAATGGTGTTCCCAGTCAAATGCATTACTTTAATGAGATGGAAGGAAAAAGAGAGAGAGAGAGAGGGTGATTGCATAAGAGTGGCAGGATGAGGCAGCAGTCTGGAGCTCAGTGATGGATTGGGAGGGGGGTAGGGAGGGTCCTCAGGGAAAGCCACCCTGGAGAGGAGGCCTTATTGTCAGCCTAGCATCAGTGGGACGCTCCCTTGGGTGACCCTGGGCACTAGTGGTCAGAAAGATGAGCGTCTGTGTGTGTGTGTGGGGGGTGAGGAGGGATAAGATGAATGATGGGAGCAGTATATACACCAGCTGTGAACTGTATGAACTAACTGTTCATTTGGAGAATAAATTAGAGTAATGATGGATATACCTGAATTCCTGCCCTTTTCTTGACCTGAACTCAATTCAGCTACAAACAAAATAAAAGTAGTACTTTGAAAGAGATTCAGATGTAGATTAAATTCATCAAGTTTGATGTAGTTTTAATTGCCGTGTCTTCTTTTATAACTTTATTATTGTGAAATCTATAAAAAGCCAGATTAAAAATAGCTGCGATTCTGACAGTTTCCTCTGTATCCTCATTAAGTGTGTGTTGTCTCTATGACAGGTTAAACGGTTCATTTAAAATTAATAAAGCATTATTTGATTTTGTGTTCTTCCACAAATAAACAGCTCCTACTTTGGTGTTATTTTCACGGCACGATTGACCAAATGCCGCAGTTTAAATGACCGTCATCCTTTACATATGTTTGCATCTTGTATCCATTTGAGATTTCTTTTTCTTCCTCTCCTGTTCAGGTGTTTCGAGAGGTACGCATCATGAAAACTCTGAACCATCCAAACATAGGTGAGTCAACTCACACAACTTTTTGTTCTATGTGTATCTTTCCACGATGGCCTTTGCGCTGAAATCTTTCTCTGTGTATTACAGTCCAGTTATTTGAGGTGATTGAGACAGAGAAGACACTTTACCTGATTATGGAGTACGCTAGCGGAGGT